AAATTCATCAAAACAACAAATTATTACTACTTTTTTTTCAAAAATAAATACATATTACGAATAATATAACTTAACATAATAAGTATATGTTATGTAATATCATTTAATATTTAAATTGATTTAAATAATTAATGTCGTAGTACTTCCAATGGGAGGCCTCTAGAATTTGTTTAATCTGTCATTTTATTTTTATTTTAGCTTATTCTATATCATCAATTATTCTCATTATTCTCTTTGAAACCGATTGAATAAAACATAATATAAACAAAAAAAAAAAAAAAATAATTAATAATAATAAATAATAAGAAATTTAAATTAATATTTAATGTAATACAATATAACAACTATATATGATATAATATGTCATAAACGTACGTAGATATTACTGGCAGGGTAAGTAGTCCTACAAAATATATTAACATTTAATATTAACAACAAATTTGGATGAGTTAACTTAATTTAACTTAATAATTATATTTTTCATTATTTTTATACATTTATTTATCGTTCACAGACGTTTCGAAGTTTTTGAACATATTATGGTTATTTCTTGTTGTGATAAAATTGAATATTTTGGTGAAGTAGGGAAGTTTCACAGAGTGGTTAAGTACCTACCCTGACTACCCCGTGCGCACGTTTATGATAAAAACCTTGTAAGTGTGTATGCATAATTCTATATTAATGAATCAATTGTAATGTTCTTTTTATGTAATAAATAAAATGTGATACCATGAACAATTTTAATAATATATTTTGTCTAGTATTCCGTTTAAAACACTTTAAAAGTGTATCAGTCGATATACCGCATAATATGCGGTTTTACGACTTCCTCTTCGAGAGCGTCTTAACGAGGTTTCACTGTATTGAGATTAGAAATTATTTCAAAATATTTAGAGTTACAAAACGTTTAAGGTTGTAGTAATGTATTGAGAATATATTTAAAAACAGGTCTACTAATGGAATAATTCTGTATCGTTTGTAATCTACGAACACCTTTTTCTTTTTTTTTTTTAAATAGGCGATAATATATGACATTACTTAGGAAAACCATGAGGTAGTACTTCAAGTGGTAATCAAGAATACCTGAAATTATTTAAAATTACAAATGACAAATTAAATTCTAGAATTTTATGTTCGTGACAATGTATTATATTTTAATTGTTTAGAAAACTTTATCAAGACTTACAGTCACTTGGAATATTAGATTTTAGGTATCATAAACGGTGCATAAGAAAGTAATAAAATATCAATATGCACCGATATAATAAGATTTATCATTACTTACCTAACCCTTAAATATTTAATAGTTAAAATAATATACAGTGAACATGAGTAATCCATTTGACTGATAGACATCGAACTCATTGAGTAGAAGTTCAAAACGTTGAGATGCAGGTAAATATACGTAGTAAATCAAATGCAGTATTCTGAGTTTATGAGAGAAATTCTAATCTTTAGATAATGTGTTGAAATCTGAATAGAGATAAACAAGACAAATGTACAAAACGCACTAAAAAAATGTCAAATAGTGAAATCACTTTAACATATTATTTTATTTTTCTTCGAGATAATAAAATTCTATTTTTGTAAAACCATGACCGCTGTAAGCTTAATCATATTTGGTATTTTTATTTTTATGTAACTTACGGAACCATATAAAAAATAACAACTTTTAGATACAATTTTCGTTTCTTTTTTAACTGGCTACTTAAGATTGTTGGTGCAATTATGTTTTACGACACCAAAAAAATGTCAATAACAAGAATAAAAGAAGCTAGTGATTTGGATGAGATTCAGTGGGAACAAATTACTGCAAAAATGTTTTTTTTTTTTTATAAATTGGAAGTCGAGGTATCGTTAGTTTCGCAAAAAGATTGTGAGTAAAGGAGAACGAGTGGATGATGTTTAAAGATAGTTTATGTTTGTATTATGTAATTTATTTATGTTATGTATTTGTATTATAACTGTAAGTTCCTAACAATTTCGATAACAATTATTATAATAGTATGTGTATAAAATTTATATAAGTATCCAGTTTATGTATCATGTTCCGGCGATCAATATTTTTAGATACTTAAATAACTAACACGATTTTATCAAAATTCATATAAATATTTGGATAACTTGATGAATTTTGGTCGAAACACTAGACTTTTTCAAATTCAGTTTTATAATATTTCAAAACTATTTCGTAACTTTTATGTAATATTTTTTTTTTATTGGCTACCATTTAAAACTTGTAAAAAGTCTTATATTCAATTTTTGTAATTTAAAAGTTATTTGAAGTTTTAAATACAAAATCGTTACAGTTTTACGTGATTTTTGTCGAGTTTTGTACAAATTTAAAATTATAACTTTTTTAAGAAAAAAAAATATCCTAGCAACAGGTATTCTATTATTTTCTATATAAATAAGAAAATCTAATGAAAAACTTTGTATACAGTTTTCAAGATTTTGTTTTAAAGTATTCGTCCGTTTTTACGATTGTACGGAAAATTATTCAGAAAATGTTTTCCTGAATATAAAAAATTGACATTATTTTCTAAAAAAAAACTCTTTTCATTAGTAAGTTTCAATAATTAATTTTCATTAATTATTATTATATGTAAATTAATCAAATTTTCAATACCTTTATTTTTATTTAATTAAATTTAATTAAATTTAATAGTTTCATTATTATTTCAGTAAATATAGTATAGGTACTATAAAGGTATAAAAACTTTGTTTTCTTACACCTATGCAACAAATGGATTTATTTATTTTTTTTAAACGTCATGATTATAATATATATATATATAAAAATGAAATCAAAAATGTATAAAAATTCATCAACTGAGAATGGCTGGTCCAATTTGGCTCAAATATTTTTTTTAATTTTTCATAATTGTCAGGATAAGGTTTTTACAAAAAAAAATATTAGAAGAACTCTATTTTTAAAATTTTTTTGATGATTGATTTTTTGAGTTCCAGAATGTTTTTTTGACTTGAAAAAACTACTGCAAGTTTTAGCTTGTAAAATTGTCTATATAAAATAATTAATCGTTAAAATGTGGTCCCCGGCCAACACCAAAAAAATCAACGTGGAGAGTGAGTCACAGTGTTCGTTACCATACTTCTCTTAAACGGCTCAACCGATTTTAATGCAATTTTATATATATATTTGGTAGATCTGTAAATCGGTTTTTATCTATTTTTTATACTCTTAAGGGCTATTGTTTAATAAATCGTAGTTTAATTTAATAATTTTTGACTCGATCGATTAATTATAATTATTATTTTTATTTATTATTATTCTGCGCAATTGAAAATTAATTATTAAATGATACTATATAAATATATTAAAAACTATTTAAAAACTATTAATTTTATTTTTGGTAATGACGGGTCTTGCATAAATATAAAAACCACAAGATCCCGCAACAGGTGCCAAAACAAACAAGAATTTTTATTATGCGTATCGGTTGATGATTATATGTTATGAGAAGAACGTTATTCTACGATGTTGTGAGCTTCATAGTCGACATGAATGTAAAGATAGATAACGAACGATTACGGTAATTGAGATTTAATCAAAAAGAAAACGGAAGGTTCTCAAAACAATTGTTAGATATCGGTGATGGGAATTACTACAGATGAAACAGGATGCATACAATTAACGACCGACTTTTGCACAATCATTGATTCGCCAGATGCTCTCATTGACCAGATATTTCTCAATGTTCACAGACAATACACAAATCATGAGTGGCTAGCAGAAAGAGCAATTTTAGTAGCAAAAAA